AGAAAAGAAACGCTTCTCAAAACGCTTAGTAGACACTCTTTTAGCAAGTCGTAAAGGGGGTCACGAGAGCTATCTACGGGAAAGTCTGGAAGAAGTATACTTCTTGGTGCCTAACCAATTCAAGGTCCTTGGAAGATCCCACCTCAGTCCTGGAGTTTCTTCAACAAGGAGCTAACAAAAAGTTAGCAGTCACCATGCTAAAAGTCCAGGTGGCAGCTTTGGGGGTCTTTCTGGAGTGTTTCATCTTCTCTTCTTCAAGGCTTTGTCTTGGGATCTTTCACTAGTCCTGCAGGCTCTGACCAAGTCTCTCTTTGAGCCCTTGGATTCGGCCACTCTGAGGTATATCGCACTGAAGACCATTCTATTAATTGCGGTCACCGCCGCATGTAGAATTAGTGATCTACAGGCATTATCAGACAGAGAACCCTTTCTAATGATTTATCCAGATAGGATTGTAATGAGAACCGATCCAGCCTTCCTCCTAAAGGTAGCGTCGGTTGTTCACCACTCTCAAGACATTATTTTGCCAACCTTTTGTTCTAACCCCTCAGGGGAGAAGGAAGGAAATTTTCATTTGTTAGACATGAGAAGAGAATCGTGTTAGGTTATTTAGAAGTAACAAAGGATTTCAGGAGTTCTGAATCTTCTTCTTTTTTTTTTTTTTTCATTTTGTTTGTGGGAACTAAAACAGGGCAAAAAGCAACTAAAGCATCCATTGCCAGATGGCTGAGAATAGCAATCAAATCAGCCTATGAACTTTCTGATCTCATTCCACCGCTGGGCAGTCATGCTCATTTCACAAGAGCTGTAGCAGCCACATGGGCAGAAAAGGCCGGTGCCACCCTGGAACTAATTTGTAAGACAGTGACTTGGTCAAGCATGTCCACCTTTGTATGCCATTACAGGTTGGATTTGTTGTCAGCAGGAGAGCAGGCCTTCGGTAGGAAGGTCTTGCAAGCTGTGGTTCCGCCCTAAGGGGTTAAGTTCTCGTTTATCCTCTCATATTCTGTCCTGAAAGACGTTTTGAGAAAATCCAAGTTAGACTTACCAGTAACTTGTTTTCTTGTAGTCTTTCAGGACAGCAGTAATTGCCCGCCCTGATATTGTTTATGCTGTTGTGCTTATGTTTCTCAGATGGGCTAGAGGTACTCTTTGGCAACTGAGGACTGTGAGGAGAGGCCTCCAATTTGAAGTCTTAAGTGGGTGTGTGTTTCCTGCAAAAGGAAGAGGAGCTGTGTTCTCTCATGTGCTGCCCTGAAAGACTACTAGAAAAGAAGCTACCGGTAAGTCTAACTTGGATTTTCATGTCTATAAATACTACCACAGATTGGTAAAAATACTTTTGTGACACAAATGCTCGATAAGGTTTTTTCACACCAGTTACATGCAGCCACCAGATTCCATTGGTAAGAATTGGAGGATTCTTGCGACTGGAATGAACGGGAGCAGTGGCCACTCAGCTCATTTAAACTGGCAGAGGGCTGACAGTGGCCACTGCTGTTCACATGTAGCCACGCACAGAGCAGTTATCTGTGGTCAGGGACAGATGTCTGAGCCAGGTCACAGCTGACTGCAGTCTTTTCAGCCGCAAAGAAAACTGATTCCTGACAAAAGTCTGGTGGTTGCATGTAACTAGCTATGGGAATGTGGCCTAAAAGTGTTTGTTCTTCAGTAGGTCATATTATTAGTACCAAAAAGAAAAGCACCAAATGCGTGCGGAAATGAAACAATCCGCTGAAGACTTTGCAGTACTTTGGTGTAAAAATTACATATTTTTAATACATTTAGTAGATAACTTTTTTTTTTTTTTTTTTTTGTATAACTTCATGACTTTCATAATACAGATGTGATGTGGACAGACAGGTTGCGTATAATTCCGATCACTTGGTTTACGTATGGAGCCTAAAGCCATATGTGACTCACTAACGCAATACATCTTCCCCCGCTAGTAGTAAGGACATTTAGCTGGAAGGTTGCCGGTGACAGATCTGTGCCGGAGCACGCCGTGCAGCCAGGGCTTATTAATGGCTCTTCCAGCAGGGCCGGATGTGCTCCTCGTCAGGTAATTAGCAGAGAGGAGTGGGGAGCTGGAGTATCCGTGAGAACCTCTCTAATGAGCACCAAGCGAGCGCTTACTGACGGCCCTCTAATGGACGTTAGAGACCTGGCTTGTTACTTTGCCCACAGTCACCTCCAGAAGTGCTCTGTGGTTTTATTTTCTCTTGTCTTCTAGACTCTTTTCTATCCGCAGCCTTCCTGTCTTTCATTTTTCTTAAACTCTGAATTGTGCGTGTCTATTTTTTTTTTTATTTCCCCTCTCCCCTCCTGTCACTTCTCCATCTGATCCCTTTCTGTGTGTGCTTTTCATTTCCTGCTCCTTCCCTGGTCTCTTGAGTATTTCACGTTGCTGCGCTCTCATTCAGCCACATTCTCGCCTCCTGTCATCCAGACGTGACAATTGCACTCCGTTGGATTCGTGTTCCTGTCAGGTCACTGCAAGCATTACACACATTCCCGCATGTGGTTGCACACGAATCCATATCCTCGGCGAGTAGTTGACGAAGGGTTAAGGGGAGGGTTCAGAGCGGCTTAGGGTTATAGAATATTCGAATGTCCTTTTTCCATGGGGTTGGTTTGGTTTGATGGTCTCTCTAACTGTGAGTTTAGAAGATCAGGTCATGGGTAAAAATGCATGAATGTGGGACAAAAGTATATGTGAACCCTAACAATTAACTTCTCCTTATTGCTTCCATTTTAGTCTGTTAAATATTCCATTTTGTTATCTGTTTGATAAGTGGACAAAAATAAAAACATGTTTTTGTCAGCTTATGACCTCGTATTCTGGAGTAAAAAATGGTTCGTTTTTTATTGATCTGAAATTAGATGCATTGTTGTCTATGGAACAATGCACACAACTAAGTAAAGATCAGTAATACAGCGATGAGTACAGAGCCGTAAAACAAAAATAGAAAATTTTTCATCTGAGTGCAGCAATTTACTCGCAGGCGTGTTTGCTCATCTGTAAGCATGTTTACGCAAGGATAAATAAGTATATTACAACACTGGCAGTGAAGAATTTTACTCATCTACATGCTTATGCACCTTTACTCGCCTATACTCAACATTACTCGGGTCTTTACACATACTTTCTTTCCTTGGGGACTTTGTCGTCAAGTTCCTGAGTAAACATCAGTACATTATGCCTGTGTGCAAGGCGCCTATAACTTCCGGTGCTTGCTGCCTTTGCTGAACGTTTATCAGTTACTCGATGCCCCCAACTATAATGTGAACTGTGATTTCTGCCTCAGACAAGTCCCCACTGACGACATTGATTTTTTTTTTTTTTTTTTTTAGTTACCTATAAAGGGGTAATTCTCCCAGTGACCAGAAATGTAAGAAACATTCTTCCCATTATTTCAAGAGTTCCTCTGTTTTGAAAAGATTGAAAAAAGCTGCACTACAGCAGTGCTAATGCTCTGCAGCCACAGTGCAGCTAGGTTTCACAGACTTCCTCACTTGTATAATGGGTGTTTTCTGCTATGTGATCTTCTCTCTTTCTGCTTGATGTATGATTTTGAATGCAGGCATGAATTTGGTGGTTGTGAAAAATTCTTAGCTCTGGCACTTCACAACATCAGGTCTTGTATGTCAAAAACAGCAGTTGGGGTTGAATAATTATGGAAAGCTTGAGCGTAATGTATTAGCTTTACTGTTGTGTACCTTTAACCACCTCCCGCCCGCCATATAGTAATATGATGGACGCAAGGTGGTTCTCTCGTTCTGGGAGGATGTCATATGACGTCCTCCCATTCTCACCACGCATGCGCGGCTCAGGGAGCACGCAGCGTGGCGATCGGCGGTGCGCTGTGTCCCTCAGACACAGCGGATCACCGATGACGGAAAGAGCCGAAGATGTCGGCTTGGTCATGTGATAAGCTGTATTCAGTCACAGCTGATCACATGTAAACAGGGAAATGCCGGTTATCGGAATTTCTCTCCTCTCTAGCTGTCACGCTGACAGCTCGAGAGGAGAGGAGAGCCGGTAATCGGCTTTCCGCGGAGGGGACATGTACACTGATCATCAGGGCACTGATGATCCATGTGCCCTGATGATCAGTGTTGCCCCAGCAGTGCCACCTGTCAGTGTCCATCAGTGCCTTGTGTCAGTGCTCATCAGTGCCTTGTGTGCTCATCAGTGCCACATCAATGCACATATCAGTGCCACCATAAGCATCAATGCCACATATCAGTGTCCATCTGAGCTGCCTTTCAGTGTCGCCAATCAGTGCCACCTATCAGTGCCGCCTATCAGTGACCATCAGTGCCACCTACCAGTGCCTCCGCATCAGTGCCGCCTATCCGTGTCCCATCAGTGCAGCCTATCACTGCCCATCACTGCAGCCTCATTAGCGCACATCAGTGAAGGAGAAAAATCACTTATTTACAAAATTTTATAACAAAAACTAAGAAAATACTTTTTTTTTTTTTTTTCAAAATCTTCAGTGGTTTTTGGTTTAAGAAAAAATAAAAAACCCAGAGGTGATTAAATACCACCAAAATAAAGCTCTATCTGTCACAAAAAATTATAAAAATTTCATATGGGTACAGTGTTGCATGACCGCGCAATTGTCACTCAAAGTGCGAAAGCTGGAAATTGGCCTGGGCAGGAAGGGGGTACAAGTGCCCTGTAGGCTTGTGGTTAAAGAACACTGTATACATTGGCCTTTCACTATATTATACAATAGCCAGGAGATTTGAACTGGCATAACTCCTGGTGGTAACAGAAGAGTTTGCAGGGACAAGGAGTAAATTAAATGGTTGCAAATTTGTATGCATTGCTTGGATATGCAAGCTGTTTCAATGTGGTTATTTCTTTAATTGTGTTACTGTTTTTCTTCTGTAAAAGGACAACATAGTCTGGTACCGCCAGAAAAAACTAGGTGTAATGTTACATAAATTGTGGTGCTATGCTTTATCATTCACATACCCTTTTTGTTCAGGAAAGTCAAAATCCTATGATGAGGGAGAATCTTCCAATGAGAATTCTGAGATGAGCAGTGATGAAGAAGGGGAGTATGAGGTGGAAGATGATGAAAGCAGTGATTCAGAAGGTAAATCACACAATGTTATTGTAGTAGATTGCACTTTTTTTCAGCAGTCAAAGTCTTTATATTTAGTATATTCAGATGTGCACAGCTTTTGTGACCTATGGATTTGGTTGGTTGCTTTCATAATGAAGAAAGTAGATAGACATGCAGGAGGATTCCAATGTTTATTTTCCATTAGGCAGCCCATAGATGATTCATTTTTCCCACCCGTGGTGGTAGGAAAGAAAATCGCTCGGTTGCAGGTAGCCTTCCCATCGGGAGAGCACAATGATTACTGCAAGCAGCTATAGCTGCAGGCACTAATTGCATGTAGAAAAATCAGACAGGCTGATTGTGCCCAGTCAATGAATCGACTTGGGTACAATCGGCCTGCTCATACATGGATCGAATCTGTCGCTCCCTGCTAAACCGACTGAATTTCATTCCATGTATGACTGGTTTTAGTCCTCTAGATCAGAATGACAAAGACAGTACAGTTCTAATGCAGCAATGCCCCTTTGAGTATCACTTTCCTGTTAATTGTGGCCTGTCCCTTATGGGACATCATAGTTTGATGCCGCTCTTCTACGTAATGTTCATGATGGTTGTTAAAGTGTAAACCCCATATAAACCTTTATGCAATACATGTTTTTTTATTAAATGTTTTAAGACTTCTCATATAGCTGAGTTTACATGATTGCACCATGCATGGTGCTGCAGCTCTTTGAGCCATCTCTCTGTTAGCAATGACTCTGCCAGCTTGTCATTGGATACACATAGAGTTGTTTTGTAGGTGGGTTTTCCACTGTATATATGAAGAGACTGATGAAAGCAGTCAAACTGAATGTGTCAGCGTACTTTTTATCAGCACCTCAGCCCGTACTGCAGCAGGAGCATGTGTCCTAGGGTGGCAATGCTGCCTTAGTATGAATCTGTAAAGGAGCACCATTGTTACCCAAGACAGGAAGTATCAGCAAGGGCTAATACTGCCAGGCTCACCAGATTCAAATAGACAAAAAAAAAAAAAAAAAAAACGCTTGCAGTGGAAAGCTATGAGACCTACAAGGGGGGGGGGCTACCATTTAAATTTTTTTCTGTACAGGTTAGCAGTAGCTACTGTTCTCTTTCCTGTATTCTGCTAATGTGTAAAGCGGAGGAAACATGAGTTGAAGGGTTAATACCGTACAGCTGGCCGGTAATGAGCTGTAGAGGCAGTGTGGGACAGAACGCTTTATTGCAGGCCTTGTGTCATTAATCACCAGATACAGGGAGTGTTCGATCTGGCAGGCACGATGCACTATGGCTCCCCCATGTGCACATTTACATAGACCTATGCTCATCCATCCGCCTGCTCCTATTTTCTTCCAAACCGTTCCTTCCTGGTGACCACAGCTAGATTCAACTTCTGGGTGCGCATGTTATATGAAAGTGGGCATGCTTATTACATGGGTCCTTAGCAATATGATTTCCCTCCTCCAGATTGAAAATGGCCTAGTGCTATCATACATTTTTAAAACTTGTAAAAACAAACATTCTTCAGGCATGACACTTAAACAGTGGAGGTGCAGTATGAATACAACCATGCCATATATATAGAGCACATATGTAATATAGAAATGGAAATATTAAATGTGATATACCTGAAAATTGTAATGAAATTGAAGAACTTTAAGTGATTTGGAAAACAAAATATTCAGAATAAATATAGGGAAAAATTAAATGCCGATGGCCATATGACCATGACTTCACAATACCTCAAGCTATGGTTTATGGTGAAAGTTCACATACATGAAGCTGCATTGTGTACATTCTTTTCCATTTCCGACTTTTTATGTGATGTTGGTAGCTGCTGCTTTTTAAAATTTTTTTTCTGTTTTATAAAAGCCAGCATTAGCTATTCATATATTCTCCCCAGTCCAGACCGTATACCAAATCTGTGTTATTTAGGGGCAGTCTCTGTAGCAGTGTGAGAAGGTGGCTCTCGTGTAGACACATCTGGCTGCAGAGCTCAGTTTGGGCAAATGCCCCCTCTATCTGGATGCTGCAGCAAGCAGCGATAATTAATGAGCGCCGAGATTAATTAGTGATGAGCCACCCTCGGCCGGCTTGTTCCTTCCTGATAAAGCAGAATTTATATTTGCTCTTCCGCCCACAGGGGAATCGCAGGATGAAGAGGAGGAGGAGGGGGGAGAAGCCGGAGCCCACAAGAATAAGAACCAGAAGAAAAATAATAAGGGGGTGCAGCGCCTCTCTCAGGCCGATCTCAAGGAACTAGCCAAGGGGGAAAAAGATATTGTGCAGGATCTGGAATTCTCAGACGATGAGTAAACACGGCAGCCCCAGTACCGGTAACCCTTTCTGTGCCAGCTGCAGTCACTGGTTTGTCCCTTGTAAGAACCGAATGTATTGTGAATCAAGTGCCTCTGACAGATTTGTTGGTGCCAAACCTTGTCTCCATTGTGGAAAAAGATTCATATGGTAGCACCAGTGTAAAAAAGAAGAAAAAAAAAGGAAAACTTGTGTACTAAAGATTTAAAAACCAATACATTTTTGGGCTTACTTTGAGCACCTGCACCCTAGGGTCTAGCAATTAGACCAAGTGCAATAATAAAATATTGCAGAGCGGAAGCACAGGGATTAATACATCGGCTCTTGAGGGATTTGCAGAATTGCTCTGACCATTTGGTTGCATGTGCCTTTGAAGGGCCAGCCTGAGAAATCCCTCTGTACGAAGCTTCGGCCATGCATAAACAACATTGTACGCATCCCACCATTTCCAAACATCAAGCTGCCATGTAAATGGAATTCTAATTGCTGCTAATATCCCAAGCCCAAGGATGAACGCACGGAGCATCTCTTAAAGTGATTTTCAATTGATTGTTTTTATTTATCTCTAATTAGACTCTCATCTCCCACTGTACGATTTGGTCTGTTGGAAAAACGGCTGTAACATTCTGTACAGGATGTGTTGTTTATATAAAAATGATAATAATACATGTGAACACCAGGATTTTTGTTTTGAATTCTTCTGAACTGAAAGATGAGTCATTTAATCAGCGAGCTTGATGAGAGCGCTTAGGGTTTCCTTTGGGTGAATGTGTTATGCTTAAGTGTCTGTGACTAATGGGGATAGGCAGGGCAGTTGTACACTGTCCGGTCTTTCACTGTAGGGGTGGCTTTCATTTGCACAGAAAACAAACTGTGCTGTCAGTCTGGGACTTCTCTCAGATCCTTGTGCTTAAATTGAGAAAAAAAATGTAGATATGTTAAAGAGTTCATCCTAAGGGCTAAGGTCCTTAAAGGGACCACATTCTATCATGCCTTTTTCCAAACTATACAAACCTGCCAAAACTCCCACATTGTAATGTATATTGTAAACAAATGATGAGTGAGGAGATGAATGACACACAGCTGGGAACTGTTACTTGGTGTAATCTGCAAATTAGGAGTCTGGTCAGATCTCACACTTGTGACTGCTTCAGCCCAACAGCAAAGAGATGCTCTAAAGCAGTGGTAGTCAGTTTGAAAATTATAAAGGGCTTCAAGTGCGGCCCCCGACACTCCCAGAGAGCTGCGCAATAGCACCCTACTGCCACTTTGCTAGCTCTATGGTGCCCAGTAGTCCATGGGCCACATGTCATTTGGGCACCAGGGTTGAAAAGCTATATAAAAAGCAAATTCTTGGCATTAATTTGCTTTACTGTACGAAATCACAGATGCAATAAAATCTTTACTTTTTTGCTACTTAGCAGATGTCCAAGTTCTTGGGATAATGTGGAGCAAGATATCTTAAAGCGGAAATTTAGCTAAAAAAATCCCTGCAGCTTTAGTCTTATAACTTACCTGTAAGTGAAGTATGTCCTGCGATGTGCAGGCATCTGGATCCTGGAGAAATCTTCACTGCAGGGGTGCCTGTCCACTTCCTGACTCTGAACTTCGGACACTGTAATGGTTAACAGCGTCAGGTCTTCAGGAAGAACAGCAGTACAGATGATCCAACAGGAACATGTTCCATCCTTCCTCCATGGAGAGGAGAGAAGTTCTTTCAGTGATTACACTGCTTGTAACCCAATCTGTGAATGGGGAGAGAGAATCCTGCGACTCATCAGATTCTACCTTACAGATTGGATTACAGGTGGTAATAAACAAAATAATTTTTCTCAATGGAGGAGGGGGGGCATATCCTTTTCAGACCATCCATACTGCTATTCTGCCTGTAGACCCAAACCTGTTAACTATTGTAGATCCGGGAGGACAAAGTATCTTTGCAGTGAAGGTTTCACGATGATCCAGCCAGATCAGTGGATGTTTCCTGGACATTCTGGCACCTAGCCTCTGTAGCTCAGCTTTGTAAGACAGTGGCACTCTAAAATTGGGTCTGTCAACACTTATTGGGCCTGCTGGCACAGTTCTATTTGCCTAGGTGTTGCCCACTCTTCTCATTCATTGATTGGAGATGTCCCAGGGTCTGGGAACACTCAGCCTGTGTCCCGTATTGTACATTTAAAGTGTAGTAAAGTCTGGTTTATGATATGTACCTACAGGTAAGCCTATAATAAGGCTTACCTGTAGGTACAGTGAATATCACCTTAACGTGCACCGTTGAGGAGACATTTGCAGAAGGTGGTGACGTCACCAGCGCACTGCGTTCTCAATGGACGTCCATTGAGCGTGATGTGCTCCGTCCATGACTCCCACGCGGGAGTGACGTCATTGCGGCCCGGCCATTCAAACAGTCTGAGCCTGCGAATCCGGAAAGGAAAACCGGGTGAAGATGGAAACGGCGACAGTGCGCTGCTGGAGGACTTCGTTTCAAGGTAGGTCTGTCAATAATGGTCTAGTATGCAGTGCATACTAGCACATTATGACTTAAATCGCCCAGGGGCCCAATTTTTTTTTTCCTTTGTGGTTGGACGTTTACCATCGCTTTAGGATAGGAGGAATCTGAAGGCCACACGTTGTTTGGAGGTGTTTAGCTATTGACTCTGCAGACAGTCGGTGACTTTTGCGCACTGTGCGTTTTAGCATGCACTGACCCCACTTTGTCATTTTACATGGCCTACCAATTCTTGGCTGAGTTGCTGTTGTTCCCATTTGGTTTCACTTTGTTCTAATACCACTAACAGTTGACCATGGAATATATAGTAGCAAGGAAATTTCACGGATGGACTTATTGCACAAGTGGCAACCTGTCACGGTACCACACTTGAATTCACTGAGCTCCTGAGAGTGACTCATTCTTTCACAAATGTTTGTAGAAGCAGTCTGCATGCCTAGATGCTTGATTTATACACCTGTGGCCATGAAGGTGATTGGAACATCTGAATGCAATGATTTGGAGGCGTGTCTCAATACTTTTGGCAATATAGTGCATTGCATACCACGGTTTGGAGGACCTGGATCTGATACTAGACACTGCCCTGTCTAGGATCATCTTGCTTAGGGCAGATTTTTGTGTCTGCATGAGGGTATTGGGCCTAAAGGTTGCCTTCCTGGAAGCTGTGCTGTATGCCCATTTTTAACTCACTCTCAACATTATGGCTGTAACAACGTATACCCAGAGATGGACGTGGTTCAACCATTTTCACTTCAACCTCCATCTTGGCAAAGGGATTAACCATCCTGACAAATATATATCTCATTCTTCCCCCCTCCCTTTCTGAGAGTCCCAGCTACATTTGGCCAGTGTGTATGTGTGTCACAGAAGGGTCATAGGAGCTATATAGCCCCCAAGGGAGCCGGGGCCTCCCTGTCTAAAGATCCTGCAAGAGATAAGGCAAGCTTTCCCAGGAGTTGAAAGAGATTCCAACCTAATAAACCTAACTCAGCGTAGGTGACAGAATCAGATAAACACTTTTCAAAATCCGTTTCTCCCCTATGTCTCATATCTTGGAATATGAGAGACGTACATAAAAAACCGGACCTATCAGATTGGCCACGAAAAGGTGAACAGTTTGATAGGTCACTCGCATTGTCTCGGATACATCGGAAAACAGAAAAGTAGAACTTATGAACCGTACAATGTATAATTTCATAATTCATATCTAATCAATCCTCAAACGTGTCTGCATAATAATCTACCTGCAGATGGAATGTCACTTGTGCAGCTGGAAAGTTATGGGCCAAAATATGAGTTATGGGAGATTTTGGCTCTAGTTGAGGTATCCACCCATACCTGCACGCCCTAAGCGGGGATTGGTCCTTGACTTCAGAGACATCCCCTGCTGGGGACTACAAAATAGGCTGTCAGGCCTAAGAGTATAAGTTGAAGACGTCGCCCATGTTAACATCAATACCACCTGGGGAGACCCATGCCATTTTGCTCTGCAACTTGGATCTGCTAACCCAGGACTTTGGCGAGTACCTTAACCCTTTCACCTCTCTCTCTCTTTGCTGTGCTGTTGGTCTCTGTATGTTTATATATATATATATATATATATCTATATCTATATCTATATCTTTAGTTGCATCTTTTCTGTAAATATTTTTATTGCACCTGTTTGACCTTTTAGTAATAAATTTTTCCTTCGGAAAGTGTTGAACTGTTTCTATAGCGCTTTATTGCAATTTAAGAATTCCTGCCTCTAAAGAGAAAGCTACTGTGTTTGTTTAACCCTCTGTGTAACCGTGTTATGCAGACGATTACCTCAACCATTATAGTGTTGTTGCTGAGATTGCCGAGTTTCCTCTTTCTCTGTAAAAAAAAAAAAAAAGGAGGTGGTGGCACTGTGAAGGGTTAATTGCGTAATTAACCTGACCCAGTAACAATCGCTCGGGCTACCGGTACATCGATTGTGGTCAGCTGGAAAATCGTTGTGCAGGGTGCAGCTGGGTGTTGCATTGTTACGAGCGTGACATCGCGGTTTTAGATAAACTAGTCCTTCGGTCACGAGTTTAGTGAGAAGGTCTGGGGTCTGACGCCGCGATCGTGACAATGAGGGTATGGGATGAACAGACTTAGTCCTTGGACTGTCCCATGTGACCCAAGGCCAAACTCTCCATAGTATGGTGGATTTGCAACCCAGCACTGAAGTCAGGAAACGCCTTTCCTCCAAAGGCATGGAAAGTTCTCACAACTGATGCCAACCCTTTGGAATGGGCATAGTCTTTTCTTCTCTGCTTTCTTGGTCCAGAGGACTTGGTTGCCAGATGAAGCCTGACTTCTAGAGCTCAAAGCAATTTGTTAGTCCCTTTAACTCACTGATTTCCAAGGGCACCAACAAGAATGTTTCAGGGACCCTTGACTTTTATCTTCTTAGTTAAGGTCTATGTACAAAGTGTTGCACATATTAGTTCCCCTGTACACTGCTGTGTTTCTCCAAGGGACCTTAATCTGGTTCTCTTGGCTCTTAAGAAAATGCCATTTGAGCCTATTAGGGAAATTCCTTTGTCCACTGTCACTCGCAAGGTGGCCTTTTTCGTTGCGATCACCTCTGCATGAAGGCTGTCTGAGTTAGTGGCCTTATCAGAAACTTTACTAGTGTTGCACAAGGACAAGGCTGTTTTTGAGTCGTAAGGCCTCCTGACTTCCTAAACGTTGATCTTTCTTTCACTTCAACCAAGACATCATCCTTCCATATTAATGTCCTGCCCTGAAACATCTCAAGGAAATTTATCCTAATCCGCTATGCTCTGTGAGAGTCTACATCTCGACTACTACCTTTTTTTGGGTAGTTGACTTAAACTTTGTATTTCCTGTGGGTTCCCAAAGGGATCAGGCAAGTTATCATTCGAGGCTATGATCTGAAGAATAGGATTCCCCCTTTCCCTGTTAGGGCACACTGTACAAGATCTATTTAGTGCTTCATAGGCTTTTCAGCACCAGGCATCTGTTTTTCTGTTTTGTCTGCCACCTAGCCTTTAACACTTTTCTACCAGGTGGACATTCAGGCCTCCTCTGACCCCAGTTTTGGGCATAAGGTACTACAAACCGCTTTCTGAATATGTTGAGTCTTCATGACCCATTTGTTACGTAGGCTTGTTGGCATTTGCTGTTTTCCCCACCCCTCAGTTGGGCTAATTTGGACATCCCATGATAATGAGAAAATATACTGTGTCCCATACTGTACAGCAAGAAAACAGGATTTTTGACCTAACCATAAAATCCATTTCTTGGAGTACAGTACAGGCCCCTTCCCTCTGTTCTTTTGATCACCCCAATTTCTTGCTACTAAACCAAGACTAGCTGGGACTGGAAGGAACTATATATAGGGTTGTCCCTGCAGTCTCCTCTTTTTGCTTGTGTCTAACCTGCATATAACCCATGGTAGTGACTAAAGATCTCATGTCCTGTACTGCATGCCAAGGAACAGATTTTACTGTTTAGTCAGTTGTACTGTTTAGTCAAAAATTCTATGGTTTGCCCTTTGCCAGCCACATCTACAAGGAAATATTTTAAATTATAAAAGCAAATACCTTTTGTGTCTTCACTGGACATGATACACTCACTGGCAAATGTGGGCAAGCGTTTCTGGACAGCAGTGGTGACATGACATTACACAATTTAGAAATTTGTGCTCAAAACAAGTGGAATTCAGCAAGATAATACAAAATGTACCCTGCTATTGTTTTCCTCTTCGATCTGCAAGATCTGATGGTACTACTTAGGGTAGAAATTCTGTTTCACCATTTGTCAGCTGAAATCTGCAGTATGTAATGGAGCATAACAATATCGGTATGATTTATGATTATTTAGTGTATTGAAGAATCTGCAGGAAATTGGTTTTACAATTTGTTTAATATTCATTAAGCCTTCCATTCTTTTTGTATAATAGCTTTAGGGTGTTTCAACTCATAAATTCATCCAAGGTGTCTCCACATTACTAAGGAGGCATTGGGTAGTGGTCAGGCTTACGCCGACTTAGGCAATCATATTGCTTCCAGAGTTATCTATACATATTAAGGTTCATATATGAAAAATCTTTCCAAGTTTGACTATCCTGTGTTTATCAGAGGCAAGCAAACAAACTGATTTACAGGCTCAGTCCCATTTTTTTTTTTTTTTTTTTTTTTTTTTTTTTAATTGTTTGAGGTCAGCAAATAGAAAATCCACCCAATGGGCAAAGGTATGATGAAAGGATCAGTAAATGAAGTGGAATTTTTACACTGTTTTCACAGCTGCTATATACAATGTCAAGAAAAAGTATGTGAACCCCCATTGGAATTAACTGGTTTTTTTTTTTTTGCAGTAATATGATACTGAAGGTTTGCTTCAAACAACCGTGCTATGTGTGATGCACCCCTAATTCAAAATAAATAATGGTGACCAGTGAAGCTCAGCTGCTGCTCAAGCATGCAAATCAAGTAGCAGGGAACGGAAGTCCTACCAATACTGTAAATAAGAACAAAAAAGATTGCATCAACCTTGCACATTACCTCAGTAAAAGTGTGAATTTATTCAAATATGAAATTGGAACACTGGAGTACGAGACACGTGCGAGTCCTACCAAAATGGGAGACACTCGTAGTACAGCTGATACGTTTTGAAGGGAGATCCCCTCTTCATCAGAGCTAACAAAATCAAGGATGCCCTCTTCTGTATATATCCAAACTGTGTGAGCACTCACAACAAAGTAGATGGGGCATAGGTGTCAAAGATAAATATGCTTAGAAAACCATGTGAAAACATTAGATCTATATATATATATATATATATATATATATATATATATATATATATATATATATATATATATATACAGTCATGGCCGAAAATTGTTGGCAACCCTTGATATTTTTCCTGAAAATCAAGTATTTCACACAAAAAAGGTATTGCATTAACACATGTTTTGCTATACACATGTTTATTCCCTTTGTATGTATTGGAACAAATATAAAACAGAGGCAGAAAAGCAAATATGACATAATGTCACACAAAACCCCAAAAATGGGCTGGACAAAAGTATTGGCACCCTTAACTTAATATTTGGTTGCACACCCTTTGGAAAACATAACTGAAATCAGTCGCTTCCTATAACCATCAATAAGCTTCTGACACCTCTCACACCCGGAATTTGGACCACTCTTCCTTTGCAAACAGCTCCAGGTCTCTCTTATTGGAAGGACACCTTTTCCCAACAGCAATTTTAAGATCTCTCCACAGGTGTTCAATGGGATTTAGATCTGGGCTCATTGCTGGCCACTTCAGAACTCTCCAGCGCTTCTTTGCCATCCATTTCTGAGTGCTTTTTGACGTATGTTTGGGGTCATTGTCCTGCTGGAAGACCCAGGATCTTGGACGCAAACCCAGCTTTCTGACACTGGGCCCTACAGTGCGACCCAAAATCCTTTGGTAATCCTCAGATTTCATGATGCCTTGCACACAGTCAAGGCACCCAGTGCCAGAGGCAGCAAAACAACCCCAAAACATCATT